CGCCCCAAGAGTGCAAAGGGTTAAATTTCTGTCGAATCCAGTGGTTTCTTTTGCTATGCGAATTGAAGAGTATTTCGAAAGATTGGTGATGTCAACGTTTTTGGGTGATGTTTGATCGTATGTTGTAATGTTGGTTTCTGGTGTTATGAGTGTTTGGATGATTGTCAGGAAGATTGCTTGGAAAGATTGTAATTGGTGATGTCAACGTTTTTGGGTGATGTTTGATCGTTATGTTGTAATGTTGGTTTCTGGTGTTATGAGTGTTTGGATGATTGTCAGGAAGATTGCTTGGAAAGATTGTAATTGGTGATGTCAACGTTTTTGGGTGATGTTTGATCGTTATGTTGTAACGTTGGTTTCTGGTGTCGTCAGTGTTAAAAAAGATTGACAGGAAGGTGGCACTTGAATTGAATATCATAGAATGAGAATTAGATACAATTTTTCAGTTTTGGCACTTACACAAGATATCTTTAATTATAGGTCAATCAGACTCACAATGTAAATTTTCAACGTGATTCAATAAACATAAATATTACTCGATTCATTCGAATTCAAAGTAAATATTCATTTATAATCAATGATTATACTTAAGAGCAAACACACAATTTCCCTCTTTATCCAATAAATCATCAATAACAAAATAATCGTGTCGATCATAGTGGAGAAAGAAATCACAGCACAAGTTAACCTAAATTCCGCGAATCATTCGAATCCACACACCCCGCACCAACATTTACCAGAACTACCCCTTCAGACGTACAAACATTCGCTACACAAACCGTTCGAAACATTTATCTACCTCCCACCTCGCATCGCCGCAGAAAACCCAGGAAAACAAGCAGTCCACTGATCGATACGTCGTGTAAAAGCAACAAACTCCGCAGTCCACTCATTATCAAGAGTCAGTGCTTCCCAAGGAGCCAAGAAGAAAGTCCATTAGAGTCGATCTCGCGGAGGGAACGATAACGGAACGGTACTTTCAACGAATCCGCCGGAATCCGGCAACGAACGGGGAAACGATGAAGCTTACGAAATGCGTGAACGAAAGTCACGAAAGAAACAGAGGAAAATAAGAAAAGTGGGGGCCATTTCTGCGGGAGCTATCGGGTCGCAGCGTTCGATATACCACCGCCATTGTGTCGGGAGATCGAAGAGTACTACTAACTTCACGTGGCCCACCCTTATTTATTTCTCTTCGATTCTTGCCTACCGTTCGCTTGATTTATAGATCGACGAGTGCTCTTTTCTTATTTCTGCTTTAGTGGCTGGTGCGTCAAAACCACGGCCCTCCGGTTGACAGGCGTGCCGTTTCTCTTGGGATTTTATGAACGATCGTTATTGACATTAGTCTTTTACCTCGTTTTGCGAAGTTAACACTGGAATTGAGTATTTATTGGGGTATGGAATCTTTATGGAGATTGTCATGATACATTTTTTAAAGGTTTCTTTAGGTATTTGTTATTGCAGGTGAAACTATATATTTTCAGAGTTGTTTGAGACATTAATCCTTTGATTTTTTGAGATTTGAGGATTTGAGAGAAAAAGAAAACTAATCACTGATCTCTTGTTATTTGAAGAAACCAATTCTTTGTTCACAACTTCGTATTCGAAATATGAAAGCTTGATGTCGGCAAAATGACATTCGTCCTCGAAGGGTTAAATGCTCATCTATTATTGATACTTGAAAAGATTTCTTTAAATATTTGTTATCGTAGGTGAAACTATATATTTTCAGAATTATTTACGTTGATACTTTTGAATCATTAGTAATTTTAAAAGAAGGAAATTAGAATTCGGTTTTGATGGGTATGGTGGTTCTAGCGTTAAGATGGAGTTTCTGTGTGTTATATTTCATTTTAGGATGTATGTTTTCATTGGATTATTAAATGTAGTATTAAATAATTATTAGATTTAGTAGATTGTATTAAGTGAGTTGAGAGATTTTGGTAAATTATCTTTTGGTAGTAATAGGCGAATACAGAACGGTAACAGTAGTGCTAGAAATTTAATTGGCGAGTGTACTGGAATTTGAATATTGTATTTTATTATAGATGCCGCAATTAATAGATAATTATTTCGTATATTAACGTCTGATCGTGAAATTTAATTTTGAATGCCGAATTGCGTATATGAATACACAAGCAATAAAAATGCATATTTATTCATCATATGTATTAATATTAAAACACATATACAATTTCATTTTGAATGGAACACCGAGACATACAAATATTTTAGTAGCTCCATTTAATTACTAACAGGTGCATACATGCATTTATATAAATTCATTGACATTTTGAATGTTTATCGTTTCGGTAAAAATCCAATTAACGTGAGGAATAAATTGATAATGAATCGTAGGAACGAAGTCCAGAGTAAGCACGTCTACGAAATTTTTCGTGGCAACTGAGGGGATCATTTTTTTTTCTATTTACTATCTGGAGAAGATATCTTAGTCTGGGCTGGTCATGGTCTAGGGACAGTAAATCGAATTCGAGATTCGGTAAGATAGAGAAAGTGGGTTATGGGAAACAACACGACGACCTGATTGAGTTTCGGCTTCTCGAAGGATTTTCCCGAAGATTATTTGCTATCTGACGATCGATACGTCTTCCTGGTCATATTGATAGATCAGTGGAGATTGATAGTGTATCAATATCCTTAGATACTCGGGATGATACGGAGGAGAGCTAAATTTTACGAATATTCAGGAATACGTGGTACCAGGAAAGAATATCCAGAATTTCTGGAAAATGACAAGAGAAGGTCGTCATTTTGATTATAATTAATCAGAAACTAGGAAACATTAATCACAGTATGCTTCTAAAAATGTGTATACTCCCTTTTATAAAAATGTTAAACTTTATTTAAAAATCAAAGGGATAAAGATGATTTATAACCTCGCATTTCATCTGAAACAGAATTTCGATGAAACAGCGTGATATATCACTTTCGATCAAAGGATTATTTCACATTGATTTCGGCAGGAAATTTTGCTGTTGACATTTTAAACGCAACATTTACGTTATGCCGCACGAGTAAATATTACAAATAAGTACAGTGGAATCGAAAGGACGGTGGAAAATTATCAAATAAATTTATTCAACGCACGGTTTAATAAAGCCTCGTTTAATGAATCTCTTCTTTAACCTTTCGCATAACAATATCAAACCGAATCCACGATAAAGACTTCACATTACATTTAACAAATATTATTCGCCTCAATTGAAGGAGAACAATCCTTTGACCTCTGATTATTTAACCTTTATAACACATTCACTCTCGCAGCGAATATATAATTTCCTTTGCTGCCGGGAAATCGTTAACAAAGAGACAACCCTGGTGAATTTAATTAAGCGAAAGGCAACGCAGTGCAAGGGATTCAATTATCTCGAAAAATACGAGACCTTCCGGCCAAACCGAGACACCCTTAACCCCGATTTCTCGAAAACAAAAACGTTTCTCTTAGGTCCGCAAAATTCTCGCGGCTTACCTCGAGATCGAATAAAGTTTTCCTTGGTCCGACATTTTCTCTCCTCTTCAATGCCTCGCGCGGATCCGACACGTCCGCGCGCCCTCGAAGCCGAGTCCGCAAAGTCTTTCTCGATTCCGCCCCATATTCGCGAGCATTAGGCCTGATACACACTGTCGGTCCACTATTGGTCTGCTCAACGTCCTTTGATTGTTTATTATTTCCGATGAACGAAGGTAGCGTTAGATGCAGTATAAAATGGACTGCAGATTTTTCTGCATTCACGAAATGCGTGCAGTGAAATTCGAAATTCGAAAAACGTGAAATATCTAAAGTTTAGAAGCGTATTTTGTTAAAACTATAAACGGAGTCATTCTTCATCGTGGTTCTATGTTCCTAATTGATTTCTCATTTTCCATAATTCTATTTTTCTAATTAAATTATTATTCTTCATCGTGATTTTAGTTTCCCAAATAATCTGTTATTTCCCATAGTAATTCTATTTTCCCAATTAATCCCTCGTTTCCCATCACAATGCCATTTCTACATTCACCCCACATATTTAATTAATCTTCTTCTCAAGGTCTCGAACTCAGGTGAAAATCTTCACTCTAATTAGATACGATTAAGTAACATTTGATCGAACCGAGAACAGATCAATTGGACGATAGTGTTGCCTTATCGGAAAAGCCCCCCGACGAACGTGACCTTTTGAACTGCCATTATTTCATGGCATGGTATCCTTCAGTGTCCGGGCGAAGAGCAGCGCCGGATAAGAACGGGATAACGCGATATAAGCGACGCCGGCTAAAGTGCTTTCAAGTAAAATTCTATTTTGCGAACTGCGCGCCGCGCGCCGCGCGGACGACTCGCTCGCCCCGTTGAAACTCGGAGCGCCTCTTCAGACTCGAGGACACCGAGGACTTGAGGACGTTTCGTTTTGATCTATTATATCATTGCCGCGAATGAAATTGCTTTTAAACCTCCGCAGTTCGTTTCTGAACGCATTGTACAGTTCCTCCGTTGAATAGTGGTCCAGTCATGGCAGTTCATTTCACACTGAGACAAAGAATCGATTTTTCATGATTCCGCGTGAATAAATAAGTGGAGCACGCAATCGGAAATTTGTTTTTTTTAGTGCAGCGTTTGATAAGTGGGGAACTGTGTGAATCATATGAGCTGTGAATGTTTATATTACTGACCTCGATGATAGCATTTTATTGAAATTACTCTGCCTCGTGATAGTAATTGCGATCCACTTTTCGAATTTGATCATATTGGCGATGATGCGAAAACTTTGAGAAATATGAACGAGTAATTTGATATATGTACGGAAGACACATGTAATTGGGAAATTTGAGAAATTTGTGGATTAGCAATGGAAGTTATAATCAAGTTGCAGTCAATTCGTTCAATGAAATATTTTCTATTTATATTGTTGTATATTTTAGAATAATATCTAGTGTAATTATTGATAAGAGTTTCTTTCTAGTTATTAACTGGTTTGCTATGTTTGTTTATATTTCAGTTCGCATGGAGGAGGAAAGAGGTGCGTCGAATGCACAGATCCTCTGGTCAGCTTGCCAAGCGTTGGCTAGGGCTGTGAAAGTCACCACAGCTCCTGGCATGCCCGCGGAGAAAGCCATCAGGCCTTTGGAATCAGAAATTAAGGCCGTCACCAAAGCAGCACGTAAGTAATCCGTCAATTAACAAAATAATCATATATGTAGACAATATTCAGGAACAAATATGAACACTAATAACACTGTAAAAACAAATATTAACTTATACACAATATTAACTCTTTGCACTCGAAAGCTTTTCACTAGAAATATTCGACACTTTCTGAACAGACATAGACGACACTATTTGAAAAGAAGTTATGAGAAATCATACGTAAATTAAGAAACAAAGTTATTTTATATAAATGTTTCACATATTGATGTATTGTAAGAAACTTAATATTATATGTAACACTTTGTAATTTTATTATATCAAATCAAACGGTGACTGAGAGTCACCTCTCGACTGCAAAGGGTTAAAGGGTGTTCATCACAAAGTTCCTTTAATTCTATAATCATTAACAATCTATTTTCCCAATTATTCCATCCTTAATTCTTTCTAAAATTCTGCATAACATATTAATGAAACAACGTAGCTGCATTATCCGAGTCCCATTCAGTTCAATCAGGTTTCCATTAACATACCACCATTACAATTGTCCTTTCCTTTCTCATTTAATGGAACTCCCATTTTCCCAGGAATACCTTCAATTTAAAGAAAACCTAAGAAAACAATAGTCACCTGTCCAGGTACATACTCCAACTCTTTCACTGATACTTTCACTAATAATTCAACACAAGAACCCGAACGAAACCTGATCTAATTACATAAGATTAATGTTTGGAATAAAATTCTTTGTTCCGTCACAAATTACCACTTATAATCAATGAAAACCTACAGCAATCGTCTGAACGCAATCCCCGCGTTACCGATAATCGAAGATCACAACTGACGATCCGTTATCGCATTTACCGAAGCATTACGTTTTAAATCACCGGCATTACACGTAATCAGCTTACATTCCGGCCAGTTCTGACGAATATTTCGAACATTTAAATAAACCGTGCGCCGCAGTGCAGGGTTAATTAATTACTAACGCCCGGCGAGTCCGGCCGCGGTCGCGTCTTCCGCATCCGGCTGGAAAATATTTCCCCGGGAATGACAGTGTTTCCCGATCTGTCCATTAACGAGGCTGCGGATTAATATTAACTGATATTAATATCGCCCCGTTTTACGGCCCCGCTGTCGAGTTCGCGGATAATCTCGTTCCAGCCGCGAATCGTCACGGTGCGACGCCAATCTTCGGGCGGATTAGGGCCTGTGCGCACGAGCGACGCGATCCCGTTGCGATAAGGTAATAATAACAAACGATGGAAGCGAGGCCGAACGCGATGGAGTCGGACGTAACGTCAGAAAACGAAATTCTCTGCTTAGAAGTGTTGTCGGATATTATTCTGAGCGAGAAATTAGAGAGACAGGGGTATTCTTTTATCCATGATGCTTCGGCCGCCTCGGTTTTCGACGCATAGTCATCATTAACGCGACAATAACACAGGATGGAAGTGAAACGGAATAATGCGACTGTGTAGGAATTGTAATGACTTGTGTTTAACACTAAAACTACCGAGCGTTTGAACCTTTTGAACATTTCTTTATAAAAGTTGCACGTGTGAATTTAACCCCTTGGCTACTGTTGGCGCCTATGGGCGTTCGTAATATATGGTTGACAATAATTGCAGCAAAGCTTACTTAGATCTGACATAAGTAAATTCTAATTCAAGAATTTCAATTTCCGTTAGTCATATATTATATAAATGTGATTATTTCAGATTGGTTTAATTTAGTTCAATTCAGTGTTTTCATAGTTTCAATACACTTTCTTAGAAATATGCATTGGCACAAAATTCTGCCGTAGCCAAAGGGTTAGTAACATTTCAATTGGTTTGTACTTTAGTTTAGTTACTACTAAATCAGCTTCTTTAATGATTTTCGTTAAAAAATCATCTGCAACTTTCCAGTCATTCTAAAATTCTCTGCATTTCTCACCTGATAGTTCTAGCGTTAATAAGTATAGGAAACAGTTTATTCAAATTAAGGGCCTATCGGCTCTTAAGCCTGCAATCGCGCGCATTCTATCGACGTATCGGAATTCCTCGCGGGCAGAACGCTAAAACGCTGGACGGTTCGTTGGACGCGAAAGCTTTGAATGTTCAGCGCGCGATAAATACGCGCTGAATCGTATAAATATTTCATCGGCTGATACAGAAACTAAACCGGCACGGACCACGGCTATTCGAACGCATCCCGCGTGAATTGGAGCGTTCACGACGGCGAAAGAAATAATGGAAAATAATGTTTTCTTTTTGTACTGTTACAAACACAACTCACCAAACAATTGCACAAAACACTAGCATATTAAAATTTCAAATGCTACCATTAAGTCATTACAAAATCGTATAGAACCATATCAAACAAGCAGAAACTACCCAAACACAACTCACCAAACAAATCCATAAAACACTAAAATATAAAAATTTCAAATACCACCATCG